CGCCAACTTTAACGGAGTTGGCAAATATGCCCATTTCATTTCATGATCCACTGATAGCACAGCTCAGGAAGCTGCTCAGTTACTCTTCACCCATGCCTGGAAGATCAGTGGATTTCGTAAGACCATCCTTGGGCGTAGGCATCTGTTGTTCGCAAAAGTGTTTTGTAGTGCCTTGATAACGTCTACATATTCATCGTAATGCCACCGCTTCGAACAAACCCGAGGCAGAGGAGCAGAGGAGTGCGCCACTCGCACTCTGATGCAGCATGTTCAATTCTGTACTCACAGAAGTTTAATTTCTTAGCTTGCTTTTGACTTTGTATCGACATGGTTCTTCTACATCGGTATACTGATTTACTAATTTACTACCTGCCCTTTAGCATGCCTGGTTTCACTGAGGAGTCCCTTCCGATCCGGGTGTAGACCTGGTGACCGAAATTCAGCAGCCATCCAAATCGAAGGAAAGACTCAAAAAACAGCTTACTTAAACACGCGAAACCATGTGAAAGATTCAAGAGACACAAACATGGAATTGTACTTGGCATTGATCAGTTGTGTGTTTGGAGCCTGGATATTTGATGTTGGTGGAAAGGCAGGTTTTTCAAGGTGCACCAGAAGGTGATAAAACAAAGAACTCGGCGGCCATGTGGAACGGGCCATTTGCATGCTTTCACGAACCAGTGCTCCTTCTATCTTCATCGATTCCCGTGAAACTTGGAAACTTCACCGAACTATCCTCAGTTTCCAATCAAGTATTGCGAATAAACCAACCAAGTATTCAATTTCTTATTACATTCTAGTTCCATACACCAACGGCACACGAGCGGTACTCAGGTCACTTTGAAACCTGAAGTAGTCAATCATTTGTTAAAGCCCCACCGGGCGGCTTTCTGTTCCCTGACTGGCTGCCCATCCTGACACCACCTGGCGTGACACTTCTGGTAGACCTGCTGCGAATCACGGAGAAAGCAACTGCTTCTCTACGCTGTGGCTTTTGCAAGCCAAGCCATAACGATCAATCGATAGATCCTCTGGTTTCATCCCTCCGAATTACCTCATTGCTTGTTACTGAGTTGACCTTGGCACAGATCGGGTAGTCAGGGCCTGTATGAAAGGCGAAAATTGTAGTAATCCCTATGGCTAGGCGGATTTCGCTAAACAAGTAAGCCTGCCATCAAATGGCTCCTCCTTTCAATGGACACGATATAACAATCAATTGTTTCCCTTGATCTGTGAAGTTCCGAGAGAGGAACATCTCTATCTGCCTGATAAAGCTTTCGAGTACGAGGCCTCTTACGGCTGCAGTACCTTTCTGGTCGTCAAAATCTCATCTATGCATCCATATACATTTGATCTGCTGGTAAGTCATGACTGGCTATCAGGTGGGGATGGGCTGCGTTTGGATCAGATTGCAGACCGGACTTTTCCGCCTCAACGAACGATGCGCAGCTGTTAAATTTCATCGGCAGAGGGCTGTACCATTGGAGTCTTTATAGGGAGCCACTTCGCTGCAGACACAATATAAATTTGATTTAAAAAAATTACATACCTACTAAAGGCTCCCTTCTTTCTTTGCCCGCTCGCTTTAGAGGTCTCGACATTGGGGGAGAAGTGCAGCTAGAGTGGGCGTAACTCCAACCTCCAAGCACTATGTGCATTCACGGCTAGTTGCACATAACATCTGGAGCACATGCAGACAGCATAGCGTCTTGCTGCACTTATTATGATAATTCTCAATGAATAAGATGTACGACCAGGCGAGCTAATTAGTTGATTCTTGACCACTTCTTAGTCAAATATATCCAGTGTTCTAGAGAAAGTTTCAGTGAAGTCTATCTCGCTGCAACCATAAAGATACAGCTTGCAAAGTGTACACTGAATCGAGATTATATATGGGTACATTGCAACGCATTTTGCCTACTTTATAGGCTGTGAATATGGTTTCAAGTACATATTGGTACAGGCTATTTTGTGCGCGTCTTACGCCAGGTTACTGCGTGGGACTGTTCCCACTTGCCCGGGCAGCGCGAGAACGAGCTTAACTCTGAGATTTGAAGGGGTCTCAAAGCACAAGGAGACGTTTTGAGAGAGAGTTCAATAATTTTGAAGAACTTTGGCTCTCTTGTTTGTTCATCCTACAACGACTACGACACGGCTCGACCGTAGTCTCGGGTGTTTTAGCAGTGTCTAAAAGAAATACTATATATCTCCTCTCATTTAAGTTTTAGCACGCTCTTGACACTGCCTGAGACTTGTCATAAGCGCTCCATCGGTTGCAATGAACATTGAGTGCATTTAAGCCTCTCTGTCCACTCAACTTCCAAGCGTCGAACCTGTTCTTCCTGGTGATGGTGTACTGTGACGGCGTCGCTTCGAGTCAAAGAACGGCAATTCACAATTACTAAACGGATGCTCAAGGCATGCTGCTGATTTGGAAACGGCATGTCCTTATTAGTTCTGCTCTGCTTCACGGACGAACCAAAGGCGCATTGGGCGTCCCGTAAAACGCACTAAACTGTAATGATAATCCAAGCATTTACCTCAGAGGTCAAAACAATCGTTGAAGAACTTGCTAAAACGTGACCTTAAGAACAGTAAAGCATCTGTGTTCATGTCGGAGAAACGATTGCCCATAAAGACAAGAGGAAAGGCCAGCAGCGATGCGGTAGTGACCAGTGAAGGGAGACTTTCGCATACATTGATCCTATGGACTCTGCATGACTTCCTTTTTATATCGAATTTTGCTAAAGTGTTAAAATAAAATGAGATTTAAAGGCAAGGCATAAGTCCACACGGCCCACGCATATACCACAGCCTTTTCTCCACTGTCCCCTTGCCAAAATTGTAGTGGCTTGACGAACCCCCCGATCGCCGTGGCGAACCAAGAGTTTCTTCTATGCTGCATCTTGCTAGTATCTTTATATGCTATAATGTTTGTCATTTTCAGAAAGATCCCGTTGTGTGGGGAGATAGGGCCCCCAAAGGCGGAGCAAAGTTTGTCGGCGCAGGCTAGCCTACTGCCTGTCTGTACTAATCCTTAGATTTTCAGCCGCCAAATCGAGCCCAGCCATGTATATGGATGAATTAGGTCCAAATTATTTTGGGGTTAAAGATGGCGGAACTGATCATAGCGTTAATTGTGACACTCGGTGCTGGGGCCCTCGTTGCTGGCGAGAAGTCAGAGAACGCACCACCACCGAGCATGGAGACTCTCAGCAGCAGTGGTATGTGCCAAAGAATAAGCAGTTGCACGTTTCTAGATGGATCTTGGGCTTCAGAAGTGCGGGAACGGAGCGTCGCCAGTGGTGTAGCTCTGTCAACACTATCAGCGAACATGGGGCTCAAAAAGCGTATGCAAGATCGAGGGAGGATGCTCATAGATCATACTTCACGTAGTAAAGTGAAGTTAAAGCACGTGCTTCTCACCTGCGCTCAATACAAATAACTGTCTCACCTTGTGCATTCTTCCTCGCTTTTCAGGCCTGAATGCTGATACGAGTGGCTTACCGGTAAGCCCTATGTTTTCCGGGAGCGTATATCGCGACAACACATGAGTTTAAGCCAGAGCATTTGGATGCTTCGACTCAATGTAAACTGCCATTGCGCCCTGATAGCCTGTCCCCGCCACACACTTACGCCGTAAACACGCGGTAGAGCTTCATGCGCGTTCAAAAATGTCTTCAGGTACTGCCAACACCTGCTGCCAATCCTTCCCTTCTACCGGAGCCTTATAAGGTAGGACACTTTTGTTCCTTTTAGGCAGCGATGGGATAGATTGTACACGACTGATCTGCCACCTCTCGCCATCTAGCGTTTCACCAGAATCCTGAGCAATTCCCTGTGTCATGCAACTGTCCGCAGGTTGAATTTAGTGCACTGGTAAGCTACATTCTTCTGAAAGCATTGGTTGCAGCTTTTGAGGCCCCGAAAGAGTCACAGCAGTCCTCAGTTGACACCCTTTCTGTTTCTCCCGTGCGCTTACTCAGTATCCGACAGTTTCATCTTCGGAGCCTATTTTGGTAAGTATGCCACTAGATGATGAAATGGTTAAACATCCCGTAGAATTGAACTATGTCAAAAAAGGCCGTGGCGCACGCTGCGTCAGCAATTATATTAGCCATAAGGTAAACTACTAGCCAGGTGTCAACTAAAATAACTAGCACTTTATGCAATCCTTTGTAGCTCTCAGCATTTGAGATGTTTAATTTGTTCAGCTTCCGGAAGAGCTCGTTCAACGAGATGAGGCCCGGCAGCCGGTAAGGAGAGCCCTGTCTCTTTCATTGCATTCCCTGTTCAGTCTAGCCAGATGCTCTACCTTAGAAATGTCACGAGTAATGCATTCCTGCCCCCCGTCTAACCATGCCACTTTTGTTGTGAGCTTCTGCTACAGGAAAGCGAGGGCCCTCAGGTCAGTGCGTGTGGATAAGGAGATAGCTGTGGATTTTTAGCTTTAAGCCCTCTGATGGGCCGGGTCGTACGTGTAATGGCCGACCCTCGGAGCTTAGTAAAAGGGCTACTTCCGTTCATCGCAGTTCGGCCACGCCAAGAACTTCGACTTGCGGGCTTTGATCCCCGCAGGCTACTTTCATCAAAATGACCCCACGTGCTACAGTGAGTCAGTCTTTTGCGAGCAGGAAGGAGCAATTTTCGGCTTCCCTGGCCACAACTCTCCACAGGCATTGTGTGACACTAGTTTGTCAGACAGTGCTTTGCTCTTTGGTGGTGTCCTCGGTTGGTGTGGCTGCAGATATCGCATGTATACAAATTATATGTCGTTTCCGACTGCAAATACGGTCGGTGTTACTTTCGGCCGGTGACTGTTTATATCCAACCAACGAACTGGTTTGTGAACCCAAGCGAAGCCTCATTGGACTCATTGACAACGGCCCTCAAGAAGCACGTTTTCAACCTTATTAGTGCGCAAAAGAAGGCAGCTACAGCCCACAAAGGTTTACTCATGCGTTCCACTAAGGCGTGGTTCTCCCTCGTACGATCCCGCCTAACAGCAGATTTCGGATCTCTTTGCTTCATGCACCCCATCACCCGTAGGGGCACACAACTTAGTGGAACACTCCAGTTGCAGAGGATTCATGGAAATGCAAAGCTGAGTCAGCTAATTGAGTGCAAACAGATTGATCAGGGCAGTTCGTCTACAAAACCCACCTTTCCGCTTGAAGCAGCCTCCGTGGGGCCTACGGTACCTACCGATAGAGGCCACGAGCAAGCATCCGAGCAGGAAGCACAAAACATTTTTGGCCTCTGCAGAATGCCGGTACGGTCCCGATTATGTTCTCTAGCTCTGTCATTCTCTATGGATTCAAGATGATGCTCGCCTGCACCTGTTGACCATCTGTGGTAGTGCATCCTTGCGGCGAAGTCTGATGCAACCAGTATCTCAAACCGTCATGCTGCTTAAATTTTGCTTCACCTTCCGCAGTGGTCTAAGTCCGTGTTACTGCTGTGTTGTCCACAGAGAAATAACTTGTTACGGCGCTTGACCGAAAAGAAGTTTGTGCTGTGCTCAGTCGTACTGAGAAGGGGCAAGCATACAGTGGACAGCTGCAGGGTGCGGCATTCACGCCTCCACATGTTAGCTTTTCCAATAAATTGCTTATTGGGAACAGCTCATGCAGATGCTGAGACTTGGCCTCGTTCCCAGTTGGGCCAGGATGCCTGCTTGCGCACTTTTTGTATTGGTCTGCAGGATTTACCGGTCGATGATATCCACATAATGCAGGCAGTTGACCGGATCCACCGAAGGTTAAATGATCCTTCCTTGCCTGTGCGTTGCAAATCGAACCGAGTCCATGCTGTATAAGAGCAGCCAATGCTGATTCCCTGCTTGCCTTTTAGAAGTCTACAAACGCGTTTTGTTGAATTTGAGATGAATCGCGGCAACTTTTTCTAATTCGCAACTTAAATTTGCAGATGCTTAGATACGTCCCACCAACTCTTCCACAAGAGAGTGAGGAGGTTAGTGGCACCATCTAAATTGATGCATTCCACTACAGGCTCAAGCCCAGCGTATACTGCTTCCCCCTGAATCCTTCCATTTTCTATACCAGTACACGTGTCTGCGCTTTCACCCACTTGGATCGTATTTATGGCATCTGACATCTTGCATTCGTGGACTTGTTCCCACTGAGTCAAGACAAGCCTTCATTATAGCCGCCGGTTCCCTTTCCGATTTGCAGACTATCATGGAAATCGTTGCAAGTACAGCCAATTCTGCCCTCTCGGGAAGCCCTGATCTGGTACGTGCCAGGGGCTTGGCCTGGACTAATCTAGCCGTGCGAACGCATAATGTAATTACCCCAGCCACTTCAATCTTTTGTTCAAAACACGATCCGCTGACTTCGTTTTATAGTGCCACCAATTGAAAGCGTGATTTATATGGTTTATATTATTTCTCACAGTGATTCAATGTGTTAATAAGCGAACGCCGGCTGCGTTGCAGGCATCTTATGACGACTGTGCAAACCACATTTCACAGAAGCTGAACGAGCTTGAAAATTTGCATTCTCTAGAACTTTGGCACATGGCCGAAAGCAGCAAGCCCATTAATTCAGAGCTACTGCTAAGATCTATGGTCAAGTTTGCGCACTTCGCCCTGAGGGATATCGCACCAGTGAAGGCCATTGAGTACCGTGGTTCTCTCTTGAAGCTGGCAAACAAGTGGAGTCGGACAACAGAGCTCATCAGAGAATTTAATCAGGCTATCCTGACCTGCTCTACGGCAATGTTGCCACCCATCTACTTCCCTCAATACAGAAGTAGAGCCCTTGATATGGTCAGGAACCCCTTAAATGACCTCCTCTCCCAACTTCGAACAATTCTAGCACTTGCTATCCCGCCCATCCACAGGTTAGTCAGCCCATTAGCTGGCTTGCTCGCTCTACTTTGTTTGAAGCTTAAAACTGCTCTATAAAGGAACAAAGTCTTGTATCAAAAGATAGTCATTACACTCCTGGTAAGCCTGTAGTAGAGGGCCCTTCATTTGTGAGCCATCTGGGGTGTAGTCCATATGCAACTTTCAGGCTTCTGATTGGCGGAGCCTTTGTGTTCTCTTGGACTCTGAACGACCGAAGATTACCGGAGGAGGCTGGGCAGAAAGACGTTTCAGACTTTGTAACAGGCATCTCCCAGGTGCTCAAGACCTTCGCATCAACCCACTTGAAGTCTGCAAAAGCGCAGGCAAGCCCTTTATCAACACAAATGACTGGTCTCACAAAGACTCCCACGGCTAATAAAATGATAGTCGAAAGATGCCTCCTGTAAACAGATCATTACCTTTTACGAAGACACATGAAACAAACCTCGGCACTTGTTAGCTAGTTTGTCCATTACGCGGCTCAGCAAACGTAGGCACTAGGCCTTAAATGCATAGGCTTCACTCCTTTTCTTGCAACGTACAGCCATTATGGGGGACTCCACTGCTGTAAAGCGAAAAGTACAAATACACCCATCCACAGACCTAGGTCGAATAAATCACGATTCCAACAACGCTGTCTAACATCGCATGCCTGCTTTTGCTTGGTTTTAGGGTACTGTTGAACATTACGTACAGCAGATGGTGGGAACCTCAGAGAAAATATTGGGGATCGCACTTGATCCCCAGGTAAAGTGGGTACTCGTAAGGACTCTTCTGGTTGTTCCCTTCTGGCTATTTTCATTTGGAAGCCACTGCGGCCCACCAGATAAGCGAGCAGCCTTTAACCTTGGATATGGGCTCTGCCCTTACCACATGCTCCCCTACGTGAGCCGACACCAAGCCACAGTAGCAATGCTATTAAAATTAAAGATTTAATACCAAAGAACGAATCCTTCGCTTCCTGACATATAGCATAAGTACACTCATCTTAATACTGACTCCTCTCGAGTCCTACATTCTACTTGAATTCTGTGGCCCAACTATTCACGCGATTCTTTGTATGCAGCATTCTCAATGATAAACAGATTTGCTTTGCATTCCTCTTCACAGTCTGTCAAATTATCGTTACTGAGTCTCGTGGTGGTGAAGGACCTCTTGAGGATTAGGCTATCAAAGACACAGAGCTATATTTTATCATTCCTTGTTTCGTTTTCAGTTCGTTGAAGAAGCTTTGGCACAGGTAGTGGGGAGTCCCGGGATAGGGGAACAGGACAGGCGATCTATTTCTTTGTGGCTGAAGGGTCTAGAGCTCAGGACACTGCCAGAGAAGGCGGGAAAGCACGCAAATGTCTTCCTACACCAGCAAATACAAGATTTGGTCCTTCAGTGGCCTCACAGCTTCCAAATGGAAAAAGGTAAAGTTTTTAAGGTTTTTCCACCACAAACTGCCTTGGTCTCAGTCACTTTGGAGCCATTGGCCGCGTCGAAGGCCGCAGGACGCTGATCGGCATAACACCTTATTCAGCGGCCAAGGCAGGTGTTACCCAACGGAGAGCAAACCAAATGGTGATCATGGATTGTGTGATTGTTCGCGCTTTCCGCTGGTTACTGATGGTTTCGAGATATGGGGTGTAGATGCGTTGGTGTCAAGAAGGCAGAGGTGCATGTAAGCTGTCTTCTACCCTTTCTAATTTTTTTAGAAGTTCCAGAAGCTGAGTACTCTAAAAAATGTCACTCAGGTTTCCCACTGGCATCGATAATTCGAATAAAGTGAGACAATGTAAATTTGCCCGACTTCAACAAGTTTCACTAATGCATGCATGCAAACGGAGGGAAAAAAACCCATTATGGCATTTCTCTGAGATAATAAAAGCATGTGAATTGTTAAATTCAGCGCTAGACTGCTCTAGATTGAATTACACTAAATTTAGAATGGATGGGGAGGTGGATTACCACTATGCTCTGCAAATTTACTGGCAGGCTTAGATCTGCTCTAGAGAAATAAAGACCTTCGTTCTCATGGTAACGCTGCTCTCAACGGGCGCTCTGACTGCTCAGAAAGATCAATTTTTCGCAGCACGACCCTCCATTCTGGACATTAGCTGCCAACAGCGTGGGTGAGCAGAACGGGGTATGACACCCATACGAATATTGTCGAAAGCTGTTGAGTTACTTTGATCGATCTTTTGTCGGGGGCTGAAATGTCCTTTTGGAACTGTAGCATGTGTCTTTTAGTTCCTTGTTCCTATCCCTCAGCCCCGCCTTTGGAGTAGATGCAGACACTGTTGCATAACTCTGGCTAAGTTGGGATGATCTAATGAGTGCGCTAGTATACTATTGCGGGGCTGATTTGGTAGCTGTCATTGATTTTACTGCTCCTGTCCGATGGAGACGCCTAGGCCTGGTGGACCTTGTCGGCCGGCCCGCATGCCAAAATAGATGTCTGAAACTCAAAACCTATCGAAGATCAAGGAAACGGGTTTTCCCATGGGTTGAAGGGGAACGATACTGTGCAGATCAAGACTGTGATGGCAGTAAGGAGTGACAAGCGCTAGAGAGCCTACAATTGCAGCCGACTGTACGAGCTACGTGGAGCAGTATCGACAGCTGCAACTGAGAACCTACTAGTGGTCAATTCTGCACTAATGCAAGCTCACCCTTATGGTCAAGGATTTCGGGCGTGACTTGGCACCAAATAAAAGGTGGGACTTTTCCCCCACGGGACGGCGCAAAAGTGCAATTTGCCTGTTCACTCGTTAGCGCATTCCCCACGACTCAGATTTACTTACTAGAAGCAGAATTCAGCCAGTGGCAAAGCGACTGTGTGTGAATGTAACTTCGAATC